ACTATTTTCTCCCCAGTGCTAGGGTCTGTGATCAAGAACTTAGAACTCTCTTTGTTAAAGTGAATAAGCCAGACTTTAAATGTCTCGCTATGAGGTATCTTCTCAGGACCAGTAATATTTTTGTAATTTTCCTCTCCAATGTCTGTAATTTTATCAACTGTGGAATTAAGGATAAGTTTCCTATTAAATTCACTGAAATTGTACACCAGACTGTCACCTGACTACTTTTAATTACTTTTCCCATCATTTATCCCTTCTTCCATCATAACACCTACAAACTCATATGCAACACAAATCCACTATACTTTAATAGCTTCACAGTATATATCTATATCTATATCTATATATATATCTGCCCTCTGGTTCTCCCTCTAATCCTCTTTTTTTGCCTCCGAATTTCTAATTTTGAACTTAGCTGTATTAAAACCGCAGTATTTGTGTAAAGGTCTCTCTCATCTGGGAAGTCTATGAGCCTAAGTTCAACCTAAACAACAGGTGGTAAGAGCAAAAGCACTACCAAGCCAAAAATGGTGATTAATAAATAAAGCTACAGAAGATCACACGTCAACTCCTGCATGTAATAAATGTTATCAGTATAGTGAAAAAACAAAATGTACAGAATTTATAAATTGGAATCATAGAATCGTAGAAAGGTTTGGATTCGAAGAAACCTTAAAAATCATCCCCTGCTGTGGGCAAGGACACTTTCCACTAGACCAGGTTGCTCAAAGTCTCATGTTGGAGTAGTCTATTCCTGAAGGACTGCACCCATGGAAGGGACTGATGCTGCAGCAGTTCCTGAAGGACTGTAGCCCTTTGGGAGACCAGGAGAGGTTCATGAAGGACTGTCTGCAGTGAGAGGGACTGCATGCTGGGTCAGGGACAGAGTGATGAGAAAGGAGCAACAGAGACAATGTGTGATAAGCTGACCACAGCCTCATGCCCCATTCTCCTGTGCTGTTTTGAGAAGGAGGTAGAGAAATCTTGAATCAAGTTGAGCTCTGGAAAAAGGGAGGGGTTGGGAAGAAGGTGTTTTAAAATTTTGTTTTATTTCTCATTATTGTACATTTATTTGATTAGTAATAAATTAAATTAATTTACCCAAGTTGAGTCCCATGATGGTAATTGGTGAGTGATCTCTCCCTGTCCTTATCTCAACCTTTGATTATACTTTCTCTCCCTTGTCCAGCTGAGGAAGAGAGTGATAGAGCAACTTTGATGGGCACCTGGCATCCAGCCAGAGTCAACCTACCACAACAACCTCAAACTAGAAAAAATAGAAAAGCAGCATCTGAATGGACTTTCAAATATGTGCAGATTACTGAGGCCTTAGTTGAAGCTGATCCAGTCCATGAGGTATTGGTTTCCTCTTTCTGAAAGCTCTAGCCTCAAAAGGCAGCAGCCACATGTCATACCATGATATGTTGCTGGCACGTGCCTGGGACGCACGGTGAACCTGAGAGCTTGAAAACGTGGTCAGATTCTCATTTTTGAACATAGAATCATAGAAACATAGAATCATAGAATCATAGAGTAGCTTGGGTTGGAAGGGACCTTAAACATCATCTAGTTCAATCTCCCTGCTGAACATTTATAATGCTGTCCAAAGACCCAGCCATGGGTATGCCAGCCATGCCTTCCCATGTCTATGATTGCTCCTTCCGTAAGTACTGTTTTAATTAGCCTTTCACAGTTACTCACCATGATTAAGTTCATATGATATAGAAAGACTGGTTTCTTAGCCAACTTTATTTCTGTCTCTGCTTGTTCATCTGAGAAATCTCCAGCTCAGATCAAATTTATAACATCTTTGAATCACCATTCTCCCCGATATAGACAAGGCAGCTAATTTTACACACTGAGTCATTTCAAGATTATTGTGCTGCACTTAGATAATTCTAAGAACTGGTAGAAGTAACAGAAAAGAAGGTCAGTCCTGAGACACCTAGGCAGCCAGCATGGTTAAAAAAGGAGACTTTCAGGAACACGAAGAATAGCTTTTCAATTTAGGAAAATTTTAGACACAGTATTTTCCTATTCAAATGCCCCACATGAGGGACAGCATTCTTCACCTTCCACTCAACACATCACTAATGTGTCACTTTCTGGATTTTCTTATTCTTTCACTCATTTCTTGGCATTTATCTTGTACCTTCTTCCCCATGAAAGTCTCTCTTGTCATCTGCTCTGTCTTTTCCTCTAAAGACATCCTGTTCCTTCAGTGTCTCCTATTTTCCTGTTGCAATTAAATATCTTACTCTCTTACCTCTAAAATATTGCACCTGCTTTTTTGCTTGTCTGTATGATCATACTTACAAAGGCCTGAGGATAAAGAACGATAAACTGTCTCTATTTCAGGGAAATGATAACTCTTTCAAGACTATAAGCTGATTCTACAACATATCTGATTTTCACCCCCTTTTCACTTTTAAAAAAATCCTTATTTTTAGTTTTACATATTTAGCATTATTAGCATATTTAGTATTATTTCATTCCTTTTTATATCAATTCAGAAATTGAGAAATGTGAGTTGTTTACACATATTAGAAGTTTCTCTGTGTCCTGAGCAGTCAAATCTAATAATCTGGCTGAACTCTCAAAATCTGAAACGAAGGAAGATATGAATACTGCCTTACAAGTGTGCCTTGAAGCATGGGTCCACAGCTGATTTTGAGGTGCTAAAAAGACAGTTATATCCAGTGATAGTTTAGGAAAGCAGCATGTCTATAAAACTAATGTCAACCAAGAGGACTGTCAAAAGGTAACAGAGACAAAGAAGAGTGAACACAACATCTCCACCTTTCACTGTTCAAGATTTCCTCTGATCTGGATTACCTTCGCTTCCAGCCCATTCATAGCTTGGCCTTTGGAGTTAGCGCTGATTTTGGCACTGGAATGACTACTGAGCAGAGACCACCTATCCTAAATCTGGCGTTTGTGCTCCTGCTTTCAGGAGCTTGTGGAAAGTGCAGTGGCTGTGCTGCACTCTCCTCAGTGGTGGGTTTTACAAAGAGCTCAGCCTTTGGAGGTGATGACAGGCGCTTCTCAGAGATAAGCCAGGTAGTTGCCAGGTACAGCAGGGCATTGGTTGTTTGTGGGGATTTTCAGGTGTATCAATTCCATAGTAATGACATTGTTCTCTGTGTGTTTGGAGCTCAAGGTAAGGCCTTGAGAGGAAAGTGAAGCCAGCTGCCTCACACACATCAAGGGGATCTAAATATCCAACAAGATACAGGCACAACGTAGGCTTTAAATAATGCAAAAGCCACTAGAATTCAGTGCTGTGTTGAGTGAAAAGGAAAAAAAAGGTGTTAAATCTTGTCTTGGTACCTTTATTCCCAGTTTGTCTGCTGCTAAAGTTTAACCACTGAGATGACTTTCTTTGAGCCCTTTGTACATTGTAATAAACTGTTTCTGCCTTTATCTGACTGTTAGAGCTCGGATAGGAAAGAGACTGCTCAATAAGTGGATTAGACTTTGAATGTGCTGTCAACCTTCACTCCATTCTGCAGAGAAATGTCAGGAATTTTTTTTGTTTGTTTCATTATAGATATTGCATGTGGGATCAACCAGGTTTTGTATTTTCCCCAGCAATCACTCTAGGACTATTGGATTGTTTTGCCTTCCTGTTAGAAACAGCAGACATAATGTCTGTCTTTGTGTTACTATTTTGGTATATTCACTTTTTTTCTTTATCTTTAAATGTACCACCCATCTAACCCAATCACCTTTTAATTCAGGAAATTCTACTGCAGCTTAAAGAAGAGAAAAATTATCCTCACACAATCAGAAAAGCATGCCTTTTTATTAAGAAAAAACAAACAAACAACGGCCTATATCAAATGTAATCAGCTGTACTACTAAAAATCAAAATAACTAATTTGGAATTCTAAAGGAGCTTATAATTCTGCATAAAAATTGTTTAAAGTAATTTTAATAAAAAAATTTGCCAGTGTGGGTAGGTATAACTGCTTGTCAGCACATCTGTATTTTTCTCTCATCTAATAAACTAGCTAGGACATTGCAGCAAAGGAACATTATAATATTAACAATGTTGCTGGAAAGCTCTGTGCTTTAGAACGAATTAACTTTCACTGCACTGCAGAACATACAAAGTGAAATTGGCTCAGCTCAGAATAGCAAGTTTAACCCCTTAGGAGCTGCTGAGCTCTACTTATGTCTCGATGATGGTTTTTGAGCAGCTTTAGCATGGAAATCATGGAGGTAGCTGATCTATTTGGCAAATTTGGAAAACAACTGCCTAGAAAAAATCTGAGAAAACATTTTTATTTTATTCAACAAAAGAAAATGTTGCAACTTTGTACTTCAAGGAATTTGCCAAGAGAGAGTAGTCAGGTTTGAGAAATGCCAGGGAGTTGATATTGTGGGAGTAGGACTGAAACATGTACCTTATTATCTGAATATTCATTCACAGCCCCAGAATGAATAATCCTTTTCTGTGTTTGCACCCAGGCTTTGATTTTCCTCCTCTTAAAAATTTATTCGTTAAATGGCTGAAGAATGATTAAGTGAAAATCTGAGAGCTGATCAGCACTGTGCCCCTTCTGCACTGATCTTTGCAGGAATGCTCATTGGAAAGCTTTCATCATCCCACTGACTTCCATGGGATCTCCTTAAGCAATTTTTTTCAGGGTGAGAATACTGTGCAGGGCAGCTGCTTTTGTGATATGGCCAGGAAAACATGCATTTGGACCACTTAGAGCCTTTTACAAAGGTCATAAACCAGATGATAATCTTTTATTACCATCATACCAGACTTATAGTCAGTTAGAGATCTAAAAGAGAAACATTCTGCATACCGGGTTTTTTTCTCTTAATTTAAATAAAATTAAAAAACTCCAACCCCCAGACAAGATTATCTTTTCATTGAAACAAATAAAATTTATTGGAAGTATTATTTTTCTGCCTGTATCATGGCAGGAATTTAATGTGATTTTGGGGGTTGGGCAGGCTGAGGGGTTATCATTTTACATTATAACTATTTTATGCATTTTGCAGTTAAAAATTGTCATATCTTCACACTGAGATATATCAGGCAGATTAATTTTTCCTCTTTTTACTTTACGCTACTGATTTAATCCACTTTTAAACAATTCCTATTAATTTCAAACACCACAAGAAATCTGGAGAGGGTGATATGCCTGATACTGCTGAGTTGCTGCTCCTCCTTAAGGTATGCTTTAATATTTTTGTCATTTGCTAATCTGTGGCTATTGTATTTTCAAATATAGCAGGGTAAGTATCTTCTAATGTGATGCTTTTTACTTGGTCTATTCACAAAAGAAAATTAAAGCAGCCAATTGTATATATGAGGAGGAAAAACAGAAAGTGAGTTGCAAAGAAACTCTAGTGCAATAAGTACTGAGGAGTGAAAAGAGAAAGATCAAGTTCAATCTTAATCCTTTTGTGCTAAAACTTCCAGTTGGACATTTCCTTCTCCATTTTTCTTTAGCCAGCTCACAGCCTTACTATACTTACCAAAATTCAAACTTTTAACACTCCATTGATCTTACATCTCCAGAATTTCTCACTCATCCAAACAAAACAACCTCTCTGCTCTGCTTTCCTACCATGGGCCCAATTAAGGGACTACTAACTCTGCTATGTCTTTCAGTAAAGCTCTCGATCCCTCTTTGCTATTTCTATTTCTCACCTTTTCATGCTATACACCTAGTTTGCTGAAGTGATTCCTTGGAGAATTTACCTGATTAATTTGATTACTAGTTTTGAGATCTATTATCTGTTACTTACACAGATCTCATTGCAATTCTGCTTTATTCCTTGTCATACACAAATGGCACATTGCTAGGAAAGATGTTTGCCAGATCAGGTACACTTCCTGCTAAATAGGTTCAGCTTTCCTCAGCTTGTGAGAAGTGTCTATCATATGTACATATGTATATCACGTGTACAAATGTATGTTCATGTAAATATACATACATACACACGCAAGAAACAGAATGTGTAAGACAGTCTAATATAAAAAAATAGAAACATGTAAGAATAATTTAATATTTCTAGATTCCATATCTTACCCCAAAATCTCATTGGGTCCATAAAAATCTATTCTACTCAACTTTATTTCCAAAATAGAAACAATTGTTTCCTTCCTCATATTTTATTCTCTTCTCTACTTTTCCCGCCTTTTATGTCATGTGAAAGAAATGAATTTTCTGTGAAAGTAGTACAAATTCTCCTTCATACCTATATCAATGTGCCCTCAAGAAAAGTTCCTTACTTATTTCAGTCATGTAAAACAAAATATTGGTAATTAATCCTACACACAGAGTGTGTTAGGTACTGTAGATCTCGTCCCAGAAGAGTTCAAGCAGAAGTGAAGTTCTGAAGAAAATACCGGGAAACTGTGTTTTCTCAGGGAATAGTTGAGATGAAATAATGATCTGTCTTCATAACTTCTGAAAAGTCTTAAACAGAACAGTTGTTAATGTTATAACTGAAAACTGATGTAAGAATTATATCAGTGCTGTATCTTTATTGCACCGTTACCACAGACAGACCCTAATATAGTCAAATTTCAAAAAGAGTAGTTGAAAATACTTTGAGTGTACTGTGTCCAGTAACTATCTGTTATCACTATGGTTGCAAAAACAAATATTCACTATTGGAATGAACTTCATAAGAATAAAAGAATTTAGAGGAATGAAAAAGCTTACTGCTTGTATTAAGATGGGACCTAAACAATTTAAGGAATGATGAAACAGATAGGATCAGCTCTGATCTTCCTGGGGGTGGCTGTGTGATCTGGGTTCTGATTGTACGAGGGTACGTACACAGTCTTCAATGTACCATCTTATGATAAAGCAGTACATTTTACAAGTTTAAGCTTGGTTTTGAGGCATAATCTCTGTAACTCAGAATTTAGCCCATTACTACGCTTTTGCTAATAACCCTGGAGACCATGTTGTCTTCTAGTCACTCACAAATAACATGATTACACAACGATAGTATAATGGTTAATAATTGAATTTTTTTTAATCTCATCACTTCAACTTTGTAATATTTGCTGATCTGTTTTTCTTCTGAAACCCTCTCATTAGCTTACAATGCAAAACTGTGACATCAGAAAAGAAAGCCTGCTCCTAATAATGAATTAATTGCTAAAGTGATTGTAGTTTTTCACCTCTCTCTGGTATCTTCATCTTTCTTCTCATCTCCTTTTCTTATCCCATGCTGTGCTTCTCAGTTTATCCTTATTTAATTTCACTCCTAGGAAACTCAAAGTTGCCAGTGAACAACAGACTTGAATCCGTCATAGAGTCAGTATTGCATTTTTCAAAGATTGCAACAGCTGCTCTAAACACAAAATACCCTAAAAAACCAACCCTCATCAATGAAGATTTAATTAATACACCAGAATATATTCAATTGAAAGACAGAGGAGAAGATTATCTGTTTTTTAATAGATACCTGTCGGTAACTTCTACCTCTGATCCTCAGTGAATTTCTGTTTTTCATGTTCTGTCTCAGAAATATTTCTTATCCTGATATCCTAATGAATCTTATGCTTTTGGTGTTTACACATTGCTGATGATTGACTGGGCATGCAATTATTGGTAACTAGCAATTTTTTGCCTTCAAGATACATAATCAACTGTTGTTCCTCTTTGAAGACTGACTTTTGGGGGGAATAGAGGGTATTTCCCTTGTGGAAGTGGAAAAATACTAAAGGAAGTGGATCTTTCTTTATTCTGGCTGATTTATTTCATCCTCAGACAAAGAGCTTTGGGGAAATTCATGTGGGTTGAGATGTTGAAGTTCCTGTATATATTATAGGTTTCATATTCTTATCTTCTTTGGCATCATTCATGTCTGGACAGGGTAGACCTTGTCAGACAACTATTTTTCTTAGTGTTCAGATAGGCAGTGTGGATTATTCTGTTGTTTAACAGTACCTAACAATTGTATAATGTGCACGGATGATTCTTATATCCTGCCACTGAATTTAAATTTTCCTATTTTTTCAACTCCTGACACTGCCCACTTTAGTTTTGCTTTATTTGTGTTTTTTTCCTCCACCATCTATTTAAACAAAATGTTTCATTTTAACTTATTTAACAATTGGTAATTTTGAATTCCTCAAAAAATAGAGTCAGGATACAAAACCAAATACAAATACAGTTTCAACCTTAAGAAAATATGTAATTTGAAAGAAAAGGTATGGAAATTAATAGTATAATTTGTCACCCATCTAGAGAATATCTAAATCCAGAATCTACGCTTCTAAAAAAAAAATCTACATACTAATGTTAATTTTGTTGTATGACATCTTTATTTTCTTTACTATGTGCTATGGTTCAGGGAGAAGAAAGACTGGGAAAAATGCCAAAGGGATATGACCACTTGAAAAGCAATAAACTTGGTAGTTTGACTCCTTGCCCTAAGGATGCATTGGCATCTGAGGGCTCCTTCCTTGTACATTTGATGGCAATCTGCATTTTCATGAACTGTCAGACATGATTGCCAAAGGTGATGATATTATGGCAATGAGATTATGACAAAAAGATTTGATTTTGTGCTAGAAACCTTCATATGCATTGTCATAAAATGTGACGAATTTGAAACTATAGGCAATGCGAACTGACACAAAATTTCTAACCCAAAAGTTGCAACTGTGTAATATTTGTTTTGTATCATCATATAAAGTCTTAGCAAAATAAACTGGAATAAGTGGATAGGATGTTATCAGATAGGAGTTTTGAATTTTAAGTCTTTTCTCTAGCTCAGAGAGGCACTCTGTAAATATTGCCTTTTAAAATGGCTACCTGAGATACTTGGAGCTTAGAACATTTCCTTCCAGCTATGTCTATCAAAGCAAATAATAAGCAGAGCTCTTGCTATGCCACTTTTTTCATTATGCTTGTCAATGAAGAAGCAGAATAAAATTCTCAAGATGTGAGGAAAATGGAACATATTTAGTTAGAGGGATCTTGGATTCACTTAGAAAGTATATATTTTCTTTGAAAATGTTAAATTGTTTGAGAGATGGGAACTGAGAATAACAGCTTTTATTTTCTAAACACCAATTACATATGAGTGAAAAATATGTATCTGTGTAACTCTAAGAATAGGCTTAATTTTTTGAAGGATCACACAGATAAGCACTTAAAGGAAAGGTACAGATGGTTGTGTGTACATCCTGCAAACTCATGGCTGTTATAACAAAGGCCAAATCCTTTGACAGATATTCTGTACATATACAGCTATCTTTATGTTACTTTAAAATTCTGCAGGCATAAAGAACTCAATTGCACATAAGGACAAAAATAGAGGCATCCATTGAAAGGCATTGCAGTAAAATGCAAAATGTGTTATCTTAAACTCAATAAAATCTTTTCAAAGACACCTCAATGCTCCTGTTATATTGAGAAAATATTTTTAATATGGGTCTGATCTTCAGCAATATATACTGGCTGATGTGGTTGTGTTTTGTTATGGTTTCTTAGTTCCCAATTCTTTTGGCAGAAAACCTGTGCCTGATTTCTGAACTTAGCTACACTGGCAGATATTCCTGCCTAGCTTATTAAATCATCTGAATAACAGCTGATTTCACATTTTAAGCATCAATATGTAACCACGTAGCTGAAATCAGAATCAAATGCCTTCAATCAAAAATGTGAAAAATAAGAAAAAGCAGTCATTCCCCCACCCTCCAGCTTTCTGGCTGCCTGCCATCTTGTAAAGATATTTCAGTCTCTGCAGCTCAAGCCTTTTTATTCTAATACCTCCTTGTGCAAATGCATGTTCTCATGTGTCTTTCTCTTTGCTGCAGGCATAGTGCACCTGTTTGAAAGGACATAACTATTTTTTTCTTTTGCCATTTCCCAACTGCCGGCTCTTTTGGCAGGAATCTGTCTCCAACAGCTGAGAAGGCAGAAAAGCTAAAGCCCTTTTGCTACTTAGAAGATCTACCTACCTTCAACTCTGTGAAGAGCCATGTGACACTACTGGAACTTGCTTCCCTTGGATTCTTGTGCTAAGTCTGAAATTTACACAGTAGTGGAGCTTCCCAATTTTTTAATGCTAGGAATATGTTTCTGAGGGACAGTCAAGGGCATGGGTAATCTTTTTCTGACCTGCTGCTTAGCTTTTCAATGTTGTCAACACTCCTTATAAAAATATCGTTCTATTCCATGTTGCAAAATTTGATATACCCATTTCTCTTTTACAGAGCTCAAACCCATATGGCATTTGCCTCCTGCTGATACTTCCACACCAGGAATCCCTTCAGCAAAGCAACCAAGACTCAAAGAGAAATACGTAATATGTTCTTTGCTCTTTATGCTCATATACCTAAGCCCTGTTCTCTAAATCAGAGGCCCAGAGAAACCTCTGGTGAAGATCAGGAAATCCTACCTACAGTTCAACCTGGAAGCTGAAGAATTTCCTATTCTGGTAGTCACAGAAATTAATCACTCTTCCACACTAGATGTCTATTAGCAGTACTTCTCTCTACACTTATACAGATCCACTTGGAATATAAATGCCAAGCCACAGTGCTTCTGTCTTCTATGCCACTAGCAATAAAGCGGCTGAAGTTTGGACGTAGTTACTAACTTTGCAAATGATGCACAAGGCAGAGTCCCCCTCACTGTCCCACAGCTCTTTTGGCTCTAAAGGGCTGTCAAGTGGCAAAAAGTAGTAAAAACTTATTCCAGTCAATAAAGAAGCTGTGGTTTTGAGTACACACAGGAAACCATTCTTTTGACTAAGAAGATATAAGTTAATTTGGTCACTCTTAGCATACACTTGCAAGCTGAACAAAGACAGTCTAGATAACAATCATACTGTTCTACCAAATGAGTTCATGAGCAGAAGGAAAAACAAATGGTACACTCATGGTTTTTTCTGAGGTGACACAACTTACTTTCCCTTCCTGTTTGATGTCTGTCTGTCCTTTTGTTTTGTCAATGTCTGTATGAAGCCATACGATGTTCCTACATTACCTATAAGTTTTTCAGCGTATCTTATTGTATTTTATCTCAGGCAAAATGAATTTTAGGATGGTGCCCCCGAAAAGATTTACAAAGCTGCCTCTGTGAGAGATGGCTGCTTCCAGATGTGAGTATAATGCTAGTGCAGCCACCTCTGTGTTTTAAATTTTTAGAAACATGTGGTTTCCATTTTGGTAAATTCTACATATCAGTCAGTTCAAGAGACGTGATACATCTTATATTTCTGTTCTTCAATAAAAGGCATTTTCCTGGCCTATCTCCAGCCCAAGGGCAAGAGAAAGTGTTCTGACTAAGTAGGGATTTGTTCAGCTCTTCTTCTTGTTCTTAAATCTACAGCAGACCAGTGAGCTATATACACACATGGTAGAGTCAAGGTTAGTCACAGCAGGATCTTCAGGTGGTGAAGATCTAAAACCAAAACAAAACAATACAAAACACATACCAAAAAAAAAAAAAAGAGAAGGAAAGAAAAGAAAAAGAAGAGCCAAGACAAAAAAAATCTACTCATGGAAAAAAAGAATATGCTTTTCTAGCTGTGGTTAAACCACAACATGCTAAAAAGGGCATTACATCAAAAAGTATTCAAATTAGGCATTGCCAAAGGTAATGATGCATTGGAATTAATTGAAATTAGTGAGCATTCATCATGGGAAGCTTTTTAGGACAAAGATAAAAGAATCACATAGAGCTGGTGCTGTTTGGAAGAGAAGGGCAGAGTGGATATTGTCTCAGCTTCTCTTTGGTCATAGATGGCAGAGATAAAGGGATTATTCTTTGGATGCTGCCTCAAGACCTAGTTAGAAACCTGTCATTTACCAAGTACCCCTGCAATGGATAGAAATTTCAGAGAAGCAGAAACGTCACAAACATTCCTTACAAATTCTTGTGTGTATTCTTAAAGTACTATGCTTGGTCTCTATAGAAACAGATCATATTACTACACACTTACATGTTTATGATGTGTCAGGTGAAAAGAGATAATGCTTGAAAATGCATTTTACATGTGCACAAATACCATCTCAAACAGAAAAACCACTCACTTGGTGATGTATTTACTTCTCCTAAAATTAGATGAGAGATGGACACAGAAACCCCGGGAATGCTCTCAGTTTCAGAGGTGACCATTCCTCACTACATCTAAAACATTTCCATTAAAAAAAAAATGAAGAAAGGTGTAGTTATGATGAGCACATGACCAAGAAACACAGTTATGAGAAGAGGTAGCAGCCAAGGCAGTACTTTTTATATATGGCACCAACTGTCTCTAGTAAATAATGGGTGTTTTGAATTGACTATGTGCCAGTGACTCACCTCTGTAATGTAGAATTTGACCTATTAATGGGGATGCAGGCTTTTCATTTATTTGAACTTGTCTATACTTGCCAGGATGTTCATGCATTGCTCATGGACATGAGCTGCTCCAAATACAAGCACATGGGTGGACACCTTGGAGAAGTTGTACCCTGAGAGATGTTAAAGTGCTTTTTTATAAGCATCAGAAGTCAATGTGGCATTGCTGGGCATATATTCCTGATGGCATGCCCAGTACAGGGCCCTTTTTGCAAGCAAAAGGTAGCAGAGAGAGAGGCACTGGCTTAGGCAAACATATGAACCTTCCCAACCATGCTGTGCAATCAGTACCTCTATAAACTTCATGTTACCTCATATTATTCACAGTTCTCTTGTCCATTCATTCTTCTGACATTCACAGAATTAAAAAATGCAGGCTAATAGGAACATAAAGACAACCTATTAATGGTTGGGTGAGCATCTTTAGATTTAAAGATAAAAGACTAATTTTAACTCTTGAGTCCTAAATTTGGGATGCATGCATGACATTCAGCTGGCCAAATGTAAAATTAAGTCAGCAGTTGGATTCTTACGAGGACACTTGTTATGGAAACTGAGGAGAGTAGAGAAGTGAATGCAAAAAGTGAATTTTGACACAGCTAGAACAAACCAATGACGTAATGTTTTGTCATTTTTATTTAGCCATGGTATTGCTGACATTGTTCTATTTCCATCACTTAAGACAGTAAGTTAATTTTTTTAGCTTTACTTGTTATTTTTTTAAATTTTATTATAAATAATAATATTTTCCTGGTTTTTTTCTTTCTTCTGTTTTCTTGTTTGTACTATTATGTCCTATTGTGCCATTTGTTTGTATTATTAAAAAAATCACGTGGGATATGTTGTTAAGGGTTAACAGTGTAAGACTACTTATCTCAGATGACAACCACAGATAAAACTAGGATGGCAACTGAAGAAGCTTGGCTTAGTGTTTGGACTCTTCATCAAAAAAAACAAAACAAAATTAGAGTCTTTACTTCCTTTTTATGCTATAAAAGTTATGAATTTCTGTTTTCAGACAAAAGGAAGCTACATTTTAAATGAAGGTAGACACTTTCCAAGAAAAAAATTCTGTTTAATCAAAAATGCATTTTTCTGTCAAAGAAATGTGGAGTAGAAAATTCTCAGCCAGCTCACTTCTGTTTCCTATACATTCTCATGGGATTAAGCTTCTTATTTCAAATAGAAGAAAGAGATCTAAAATCCCCAAATCATGCATTTCAACTTCCTATCATATGTCAGTCAATTTTTCCTTGAGTTTTCTTTCTCTGCAGTCAGCTTGTATGTTTCTACTTAGGCAATCAAGACTAAGAAATAGTTAGAAATTCATCATCAATCTTTATTCCAGGACGAAATAATTTTGAATGGTCTGTAATTAATCATGGAGATCTCTGCTTTTATCAGCACTTCAGGATCTCCCAAAAAACAACCCCTCAATATGATACCTTCTGTTTTCAGTGTTTATTTTTTCACTAAAAAGTCCAAACTTCCCCCAAAATAAAATGTAATATCTTTCCAACAGGGGGAAAATATTTTCATATTCTTTCTCCCAGTAATATTCTTTTATATAACTTTTTTTAAACTCAAGAGAAATGATGAAAAGACAATCATATTGATTACATATTCTTCAAACAACTGTCACCACAGAACATCATAGTATTTGACTATAGCTTTTGAATTACTGTCTTTGTTTTTGTGTGTAGCTCTACTGTGGTTTAATAACTGATGGGAATAGTGGTCATGTACAAAGAGATCTTTATTTTTCCAGTTCATTTTATATTTCTTCTGATCCTTTTCCTGTCTTTACTCTGCTTTTAATATGTGCAATTTCATTTTGTCAAATAGGAATGTTTATACTTAAAGAAATTGCCTATTTCTTTTCTCATAGCTGGAGGTACTGATTTTTGTCTGATAGACCAGAATATCGTGGATTAAAAATTCTTTTCTATTGTGGTTGCACCACAGTGATATTCTGTATTGTATTAATTCAGAAGTTCAGTACTTAATGAGCTTTCATTATGCCACAACACTATGAAAAGTTTGTTCACGAAATGGATGCAATTGAGGATTTAACTCTTTGCTACCATTGATAAAGATGCAGCCTGTAAAAACATGCACTCACAATCCCTCTTTAAAGATATCATCTATTTTAGAAAACAATTTTGTCTAATCAGGTGTCTCCTTTACTGGCCATTATTTTGCAGCCCAAAGCCTCTGACTGAGTCAGTAACAGTAATTGCTGAATGTGAGACCTCTCAATTTAATTCCAGGAGTGTGTATCACCCAAGGAAAGACCCAGTACTACAGTCAACATAACCCCAGGATCATGAAGCCCTGTGGTAAGTTCTCTAGCAGCTGACAGATGTACGGCAGAAAAAACACCCCAAAGTAGTTATTTGACATAAGATCATAAGTACACGAGTAACCTTACAGCTTTACAATTTTAAAACAAATATTTCTATGAAGCTGCATTTCCTTTAGAGTTATGCTGTCCTGGGTTGCTAACATCTAAGAAGCATCAAGTTCACATCATAACCTTCCCCTCCATGGGGATGTCCTCCCTCCTCTAGCTGACTGTTTTTACAAAACGAGTCAGAAATTACTGAGTGTCAGCTGAGCTCTGGCAACTGAAGCATGGTCAGCTGAGACTGACCAAGAGGTTCAGAAGTTAGTATGGTGAGCTCACTGAAAATTCATCAGGGACAGGTGCAAAATGCTACATTTAGTAAAGGATAATCAGCTGTCCAAAGGCAAGCAGAAGAAAGGCTAACTAGGTAACAAAAGAAGATGTATAGATTATAATTGATCACATTTATAAATAGTGCTTTGTTATTAAGAAAATCAATCAACACATTAGATTGAATAAATAGGAATACTTCCTGTAAGACCGTCTGAAATACTTTCTCCACCTGAAGATGATTATGGAATGTTTGAAGAAAATGCAAGGAGGAAAACAAAGAATCAGTCCTTACAACACAAACTCCAGGGAAAGACTCAGCAGGCGATGATATCTGAATAAAGGAGGCCCTGAGGGTGGATATGATGTCTGATGTCAAAAGGGTAAATAGAAAAGAGGAACAGAAAAAATTTTTTATGTCAGATTTTAGTTGGGTAGGACAAAAAACAATAGGATGAAATTGCATCACAGAAGGCTCAGAAAAGGTAGTATGAAATATTTTTAATACTACAAAAATGGAGCACTGCAATAGACTGGTTGGAAAAATTGCCTTCAGAGAAAGTCTTTAAGACAGAGCTAGGCTCAGGTGGATGGGAATTGTTCAAGAGCTGATCGTGCCTTGGAAAAAAAGAATTGTCTACATGAGCTCTTGGGCTCTCTTGCCACCCACATTTTCTATTGGCTTGTTAATCTGTTGCTGATGCACAGACTTGCAAACAGTACAGCTGTTGAGTCTCATCTTGTTAGGGAACTGAAATAGAAATAAAAGCTGAAGATTTGAAGAGTGTGTCATCTTTCCTCTATATTGCTCAGATCTGCTCCTTCTTTACGATCTAATCTTAGGCAAATTATTAAAATCAGATTGGGGAGTTTGGTATTTGAACTACGGATGGTTTTTATCCAGAAACATGAATGAAAAAATGAATACAGCTGGTAAACAATACAAAGAATGATTCTGAATATCTTTGTGCTTTAATCTAAGGAATTCCTTTTCACAGTTATTAAGGGAATTGTTATTTGCCACTAAAGGTTAAAAATTCTCAGACATGTTTTTCCCAGAGTATATACTAGTTTGAATACAAAGCATTTATAATCTGAATTGGGGTTTTTGGGGAGGGTGAAATTGCATTGTCTGTTAGTGTTCAATTATTATCCATTGTCTTGCTAGACATCCAGTTAGGAATCAGGAATCATACGACGTAGTTCATATGACTTTGCCACACGCCATGAACAATAGCTAGTGAACAGCAAACAGCTGAGGCAATTGTTTGCATGAATCCTCTAGACTAAAATGTGTTTGAAAATAATTAAGGCAACTACAAACATAGGAATAAATCACAGAATCACAGCATATTACAAATTGGAAGGGACACACTAGGATCGCAGAGTCCAACTCCTGGCCTTGCACAGGACCATCCCCAAGAGTCACACCATGTGCCTGAGAGTATCATCCAAATGCTTCTTGGATTCTGTCAGACTTGGTTCTGTGACCACTTCCCTGGAGAGCCTGTAGTTCACAAACACAGAAACTATATGCTTTTAAAGCTAATTTAAGTCCAACTAATCAGTGAACCAGTCCTCATCATGACCAAATTAGTAAAAAAATAGTTGGCTGAAGCAACATGTGAAACCTTAAGTCTGCGTTTTGCATGTTCTATCAGCTCAGCAGAACAAGAGGGAGCACAGGCAGCACTAAGGGCATAGAGAGGGAAGGAAGATAATGTCTTCACCTATCATGTTTTGAGTGTGACTGCTGCTTTGGTTTTCATCCTCCAATTATCAGAAGTGATCACACAGAAACTAAGAGCTGATGGAACATCTTTAAGCCAGGTGCTGCCACTTATCTTCTCTGGTATCTACTTTTTCCTCCCACACTAATGAAAAATGATTTCAAAAGAAATGAAGATCCTGTTTCAATAAGACTGTGGAAAAGATGTAACCTAAAAAGCTGTCTACAGACTCAGGAATAAGTGAAATGTTTTGACAGGGAAAAATATGTGTTGGCAACATTGCTCGACTCAGATTTCAAAAGTAAAATTGAAACCATGCTTCTACAGGCTGCAGACGCTGACAACTGGAAGCCTGTTCTGCAATATATAGTAGTTAAGAATATGCCAGCCAGCTCCTCCTCTCCCCACACTCTCACATGTACAGGACAAATACATTTCTAGGAAAAGAACAGTCTGACTTAGTAATTTTTTGAAAACAAACAAACAAAATCCAAATCTTACTCTCATCTGACTGCAAAAGGTTCAGAGAATACAGAGAACATCTGTATCTATATATAAAACTGCAAGGAAGGTGATATTCTTCAGACTTCTCTGGCCCTTTCAGGCTAAATTTGGGCTGAGCCCATGTCCATGTGGTGTCAGCCTACATGAGGTGCAAAACTGGACCCATGAAAGACTCCCATCTCAAGAATCTAGACTTCAATATTAAGAAGAATGGTCTCAAGTAAGGTTGGGAAGATAGGCTTTGTAAATTCATTTGATCAGTTTGAGCAACAACTATGAAAAGTGAAGTTACCAAATCCTTATGACCAGGTAAGTACCAACACTTAAGGCTAATAAAAAAGCCCAGAAGATAAATATTTCAAATTGTATGTTCTTAGTTTCCTGGTCATGGTCACTGCAAGATAGCCATGCAGGACTTCTCTTTGTGCAATCAGTAAAAGAGTTTTGGACCAGAAATTGTGAATGACAGACAGTCTGCTATTTCACCAGATCATTCAAAAATAAAATCCAAAAGAAAGGCAAATAATTCTCTCTCAGTCTCCTTCTGTTGTGTTCATGTGAGGACATCTTGAGATAAAGCAAAGACTCCCTTCCTTGAAACTTATTGCAAACAAAACAATTAAGTAAATCTAGAATATTGATTTTTCTCTTTCCTTTTGGACAGATATTAGTTGTTTCACTGTCTTTCCCTTGATTTTTTTTCATTTTCCTCCTGCAACATTATACAAGCTCATATGAGGCAAACTCCTTAAGGAATTTGTTCTACAACCTTCCTTTAAGGTTTCCCAACTCTATATATTAACTTTCTGCTGACATCTGAAGCTTTGTTTCTCAGGGCACTTAGCAGAGGAGGAAGCATATGTCTGAATCTTTTTTCAAAGAATCCATTCTGCAGATTCTGTTCCCAAAGAAGTGTATTTATAAGAGATACTTCAGCACTTCTTGATTTGGTTTGCAACACAGATACTGGTATATTAGTCCTCCAGTGCACAGGGAGTTTATATGCATATATAGTTCTTTCCTAAGTATGAACTTAACATGGCAGTTGAAATGGTGTGGTTCCATGTGCTGGTCTGCTTAGAGAGAGACTCCCTTAGGAATCCTTGGGTGATACTGCATGTGAGATAGAGATCTCACATGCAGATAGGGCATAGCAGAGCACCCTTCTATCTGCTCCAGTCATGTCCAAACCAGCTTTGTCCTAGAGGAGCAGGCATGCAGTGGCTCTGGTTTTGCCTCCAGCAAAGTGGACAAAAAGGGCTTTCTGGAAGGCAGCAATAATCCACAGCACCTTCCTCTTCATGTGAGCAGTTGTATCAAGAAAAACCTTCAGTCTGACCCCAAAGATAAAGTGGTGTCATACAGCAGCACCCTGAAATGCTGAGCGTGGATGGGGTGATGGATGTGCTTAAGAACTACACTCGTGAAACTGCAGCCTAGAGGGTAACTGTGGAGATACATTCCCACACTCTGTCTTTTGAGTTAATTTCTCTTCTGGCTTTGTGGAGTTGAGATAGGTACAGACTATCTCACCTTTGTCCTTATGCTCTGTATTCAAATTAGGTAAATAAAGTGGATTTTAAGTGAATTATAAGCCTTATATTCATTAACCACCAAAAAAATGAAAATGAAAAGTGTGGGGGAACTGGCAGAAGAGAAGAATGCAAAACTAAGAAGAAAATGAGAAAATGCAGAGCAAACAGAAAGCAGGGAAGAGGCAAGAAGGAATGAGAATTTTCTTCTCATTTTAAAGGTCATTTCCTCCCTCTGGCTGGCTTCTGTAACAATAGTAATATATACTACCAACACCAACACTTCAGGGGTTATTTTTTAACCTATTGAAAGGATGGGAACATTTTTGGCTGAAAATATTAAAACATTTCAGTAAAAAAAACCCTACTGAAAATCATCTATCATCGCGCTCATTGCAACAGTGTCTTTCACTTTCTCACCCTTAACATTCAAGTATTCTGTGGCTGAATAGGTCCCTGGATAATAAGTAGGGATGTGTGAGGGATGGTTAAAAAACCTAAAAGTAAGGATAGAGGGGGGGAAAACTATAAAGAAAGGCAAGGAAGAGGGATGGAAAAGACTGAAATAGAGAAAGTGAATAGAGATAAAGGAGAGTAAGAGATAAATGGTAAAGAACTTGGCTTTCACTTGCACTGACTACTTTGTGCAAATCTGACAGTGAAAAGTTGCTCTTATTCCTTTTTACCTCTATTCCAATAAATCTAAATTGCAGATAGACCTTTCTGATTCAGACCTATAAGGAAAGAGAAGGAAGAAAAAACAGTTTTAGAAAAAGGAAGCAGGAGAAAAAGATAACTAGGGCTAAAATAAGGAAAAAAGATCTGGAAAATTTTTATGAACTTCACGCTTTTCCTTTTCAGTTTTTACCTACAGTTTTTAATAGTTTTTCAAATTTCGAAGTGTTTCAATTACCATTTTGGAAATTTTCCCCCAAAGTGAGCTAGTGAAAAATTTTGTTGCTGTTGCTAGCTTTCCATAATTTCTACCTTAAATATAAAATAAAAAATGTAATTGGAGGAAGTAAATTTAAAGTTTTAAAGAAATATCAAGTTTTAGAAAATAGAAGATGAAAGAGAAAGCAAGGAGCAAATGAGATTGTTGCATTGGAAAGACCCTAAGTAATAGCAATATTAACAATACTGATGACAACCAATTACTGAATGTAACATTTTAATAAGAGGATGGTACCCTGACAAAATCAAATGCTTACATTTCACTAGAAGAAAAATCATGTGAGTACTCTTTATAGAAAATATGAGAAATAGGGCAGAAATAAAATTTAGAAATGACATTACAGTGAAAGCTTTAAAAATAGCTACGTATTTTTTCAGTTCTCTGGCAAAAAAGGAAGGCAATATTTTGGATCCAAATAAACATTTTGTTTGAACCCAAATGAAATGTTTTATTTCACTTTGATGTCCTTCGTTTACTTGCAAAATAGGTCTAAATGTAAATTTAGATAAATTTTTAAGCAGAATAACATTTTTTTAAAGGTTTTAAAATGTCAAAATAAACTACTTAGAATGTTTTGCAACTCTTTTCCAGGGATATTTTTTCCTCATGTCAAACCAGTTCCATAAATTTGACAATATTTACAAATAGTTACAGACGCTCTTGTTTTGCATTTCCTGTCTTGTAAAACAGACGACCTTTTCTGACAGACACTGTATGCAAAGTTAGAGACTGCTTTTAGATTTCATTTTGTAGCCTTTTTATTTCCTTTATTTTTCATCATCTTTACTCATCAATCTACTGGAAGACTCTGGAAGCCCAAAAGATTTCCAGGTTTGGGTTTTGGTTCAAGAGACCTCCCAAACCAACTGCAGTGCTTTCTCCTCTGAGCAGGCCAACATAAGCTGGGTGTAGTGGCATGTCCTCATCTTGAAGGAGATCAGCACTAACTGCTCTGAGGATCTCCACACTATCTTCTGCCCTGACTCGATGTTAGCTAGATCTGAAATGGCTCTGACAAAGGTTCCTTTGATCCGGCTGAGGGAAGCACTAATCTTTGTTTCTCAGATTGGCCTTTGGAAGTGCCCAGGTCACATCTGCTCCATGCAGAGCCAAAGATAGCTTGCAGCTGCCTGTAGAGGATCAGGTGAACGTACTTTCTTAACCCCTCCTCTGCTTAATGAGGTTGAGGGAACAGGTACCACTAGTAAATCAGATTTTATTCCACTTCTTAGACAGCGATTATGAGTGCCTTGTGATCCAGAGATATTTGGTCTTACTAGAAGCCTGTTCTTCTATGGGAGCTGGCTTGGCTCCACTGCTTACATACCTGTCCAACTGATAGAACTAATAAACTGTATTGAGATAATTCGCTCTGCTCTTTGTTGGTAGATCTCAAAGCTGTTAATGCTATCAGTATCCGCATTTTAAGTTCACGGAAACAGAGCCTCCAAGAGGCAAAGCACCTTGCCGATACTATTTTGGCAGAACTGGAAACTGAGCTAGTGAGCCCCATTACGGTGCCCCAAGCACCAGTTAGCCTTTTTAGCTCTGTCACAGTCTATTGTGCTGCTATTATTGCCACACTCAGTTGTGGTCTTATAAAGAGTATTTTGTTACCTAATGAGTGGTTTAAATGTGTCCATCAGTTTTCAGGTTTCAGGGCAATGGCTGCTTAAAAATGAAGAACGTATTTCAGGTTTTTAATCAGCACAGGCTCAGGTTTGATTTCCTACCAGCTTTATGCCGACTTGCATTGACTTTTGCAAAGTAACTCATGATTCACTATGGAAAGAATGGGAACAGGACCAAATGTACTGGTTGAATGGTTTTTAAATTGCTTGTCTTTCCCTTCCTTGACTTGCAGTTCCTATTTTGTTAACCTAGTGTTTTAAAGTAACTGTATATTTTCTGAAATCCACTATGAGATATATTCTACTCTGAATGTATACACATAGCTTTTCCTATTAGTAGTGGAAGTCATGAACATATACTGAATAATACAATGCAGTGTGCATAAATCCTTTGGGGAATCCAAGTCCTAGATAGAAAAAAAAAAAGAAATCACAGTATTTTAAAATGCCAGTTGTAACATTGCAGTGAGTTCCAGGCACATGTTTGCCAATAATGAATGGAGGAGTACAGATACAATATTGGAACTGTCTCCTGCAGAGTGGTATCATATATAATCATACATACTGTCAGCTTGCTTGATTATGTTCGGGATTGCAAGCAGCACACACAGAAACAAAGGAGAAATTCTTATGCACCTCAAATTTAATTTTTATGAGAAATATATGGAGGCATTAATCGGTGATTACAGCACAGGAACAAAAGTTCCTGTGTCTTTTTAGATTTGCATAATAAATACACCTTTGTGAATTCCTTTTAGAAAGTTAATCACACATTCAGAAAATTTCACTTCTTTAAGAAAAAACATTTACAGTGTTAAATCATTATAGCAATTTAATTAATTGCCACAGTGTTTCATTTAATGTACATAAGCAGCCCACATTACTAATTATCCTAATTTTGTAAAATCCATGATCACAATTCAATCATTAATCAGTATATCAGAACTTCACTCTATTAGCTGTTGTTTGTAACAGGGCATCTCAATTGATTATGCTGTAGATTTTTTATGGGTCTTGTTTTATAAATTGAACCTAGTCAAGTAAACATAACATTTGGTAATAGTCTTCATAGCAACTGTCAAAATGACTTATTGTTTTTCCAGTCCTGCATTCCTTCAGAATTAATATTACCTTTGTGCTCTTTATAACACTTATTATTAAAGCTATAAAATTCTCTATGTTTAATGAGTGGATGTTGTTTCATTATATGTATGGTTTGCTTGACAGACTGAAAATTTTTCTAATCTGTTTCTCTTTTCCTCTTGATTGAAGGATTGTAAATATGCAATTAGCAGCTAGAGTAGAAGTAAAAGCAGAAAATGTCAACTGTCAAGTAGCTCCATTGAAAGACACATGATGCTTCAAGCTAAGACAGAAAGACAAAAGCACCTACCAACAAGGATAAAGGTTGCAAAATCTCTGTTTAAACATTCCATTAATCTCTTCCATGAAATAAATATAGTTAATACATCCAGGAATGAGGAATCCACTATCAAAACTGCAATTTACTTTTGTAATAAAGCTCTGTGTGGTAATGCTATACTCTATTGCCAGTAGAAATTCTGGATTCCACCTCTGTTATAATTCATAACATATATCCCTTTATGTAACATATGGCTGGCCATATCACAGTAATGAGATTGATTTCCCAAGAATATACATGGGAAAAGGGTGCAATACATCACTGTCGTCTAGAGTACCTTTCTCTCCTAGACTAAAACATCTAGTTCTGCTTCCAAAGAGTTGATTATTTCTGTGTCCTCTGTATGAAAACCTGGGTTTGCCTTGGCTCTCTTATGCAATGGCTGACTATGCTTTCATTCAGCACTGTGGAAGAGGAATGCTGAAAGGAGGCAAGAGGGACATATAGAGATATTTGTTTCCATTGACAAGCCAAGAATAACTGTTTGCAGCAACATGTTATATTTAAAGCCCTATAAAAGCTCTAAATAATTAAAGAGACTGAATTCTCTAGGTATTCCTGGTTATCCATACCAATAGGAGATGTTCAGTGTGAGGCACAATGAACAGAATGAGGCTGTTCTTAACCTACATAATAAAAGACTTTGCCAAGCCAAGCTATCCAGAGGTATGAACTCTTGCCTGGAGAACCGCCCTGTTAGACTGTCATATTAGACCAGAATTAACCTTCCTGTTTCCTTCTCAGAGGCAGTTACCATAGAGGTCCTCAGGGTTTAATGCTGTGAAACATGATTGTTCAATGTGTGGCTAAATAACACAGGGTTGTGGGAATAATCTACCTGCCAACAATTCCAAAAGCTTTTGATGGCTTTCTGGCCAACAGACTAGTGACTCCATCCCTTTCCCTATCTTCTTCATTTATTTTCATATAACTTTTAAAAAGGTAATTAAGTGCCTCTATTATCTCACAGAGCAGATTTCCACATTCTACTGGTCATATATATTCAAGTTTATTCCAAATTTTCTCAGTACGTAACATTTTAGTTTTGCCTGTCATATGTTAGTTAACATGCATTAGGTATATAATCTAAAAATGTCATGTATATCCTGTCATCTGATAGGATGACACTTAGAGACATATCTCAAAAAGCATCTGTACAATGGTAGACAGCTCAGGTATTGATCAAAACAGAAACAGGTCCACTGATGATGTCCCCATTATGTTAAAGAATAAAATTTATTCCTGCAAATCCCACTTATGATTCTTTGGTGATTCAGCTGTTTCACATAGGTAGGACAGATGAAACTGCTGAGAAGTCTTGTGCATCACAGTCTCCCATGGGATGGGGCTCCAGGCTCCCCAAGGCACATCTGCATGAACCTGCATGCTGCTGCAGGTCTGTGCACCAGCTCTGCTCTGCTCCCAGGGTGCTTCACTGGCTTGATCACAGCTTCTGACAGAGTTCTATGGTAATAGATGTGTTGGATTATAGTTTGCTGCTTTTGGAGCATGTGATAGTTGACACAACAGAGAATGGACTTCACAAAAGTATTAAAAAAAAAAAAAAGCAAAACCCAGAGCAGTTAAAAGTTTCTTGACCTATGTAAAATTTTAAATACCTGTCAGAAAACATCTTACTTTTCTCAATACTTATATCCCTCATATTACTCAAAGTTTTGAGTAGCAGGAATCTAGTTTGATGTACTAGTTATCGCTAATTAAAACACAGATGAATGGTTAATAATATGATACACTACTAAGAAATAAAGTGTGACAGAATTATAATCTAGTTGGGTCCAAATTATCCAGGGAAAACCATAAGAAGAGAACCAAGCAAGAACAGGTTGTCAGGAGCTGGCAAGGGCTGGCCGGGAGTAGGAGCCAGGCAACAACATCCGAGTGCAATGACAAGTCTATTTGAGGCAGTCGCCTCACTGACAGGGACCTCATCCCACCACCTGGAATGGGGCAGGGCCAGGGATGGCAGCCAGGGTCCCCTCAATAGAAATTGGACAATAATCCTGCTTTCCTTCACCAGGTGGCCATTGAACCAGAAAGAATAGAGACTGCTGGATCTACACCTTGCATGAGCTAACCAGAAATTAACTTAGTTTATGTTAAACAGAAGAATTAACCAAGGCAGGTCTATAAAGGTGGTTTCAACAGAGAAAATTTTGCTAATTAGTTAACGAAGACTGGTGGACTGAGGACTCGGAATGTGCATTCAGAGAGAGCTTGACATTTCTTTAGGACAAGGTGCTGACTTGTTAGGGTTTCTATCCAAGCAGTGGGGAAATAGGAGGAATTACCAAGCTGATTTGGTGCATGATCACCTGGTAAGTTAATTAGTAATAAGGAGAAATTGTACAAGAAAATAAAAAGACCTGAAGTAAGAGTCAAACCAGAGGTCAAACTGTATAGGCCTTTAGTGAGAAATCGTACAAGTTAGACTGATTTGCTTTCCAAACAAACAGCAAAAAGTTCCGTATATGTACAGTTAACCCTCCCCACCCCCAAAGAAAAACTTCAAGGATCACTACTTTGCAAAACTGGGCTAGAGATTAAACAAGATCTAACTATACCCAAAACCTAACTCAATATCTCCAACTGGTCCTCTGTAAGAATTTGCTATAAGAATTTACTTACTCTTAGTAAATATCTCCTGAGCTGTCACAATTTCAAATCTGAAACTGACACTAATTTACGTGCTTCAAAGTGTTAGTCTATTGTTACTGATTAAAGATTAGGGAGAAATCCAGTGTTGAGAGGTAGATTACTCCTCATTTGTGATTTCTTTTTGCTGTTGGTTAAGTGTCAAATGCTGGCCCTTCTCAAAGCCAAAACCAGGTATACTTTAAATTAGTGTAGCAAATCCCACAAATCACTTAATTACTTTGTTTAGCATTACTTAAACAAATCTGTTAAGCATGCAAGTAAGGCTTTATCCTGTCTGAGAAGCAATAGCAAATTTGGAATATCTATAGACAGAGAGTGGGCTATTTGTGTGCAGAATTATCCTCTTTGTGGTCCAGGACATTTATTTTTAAAGAAAGATTTCTATTCATGAAAAGAAGACTGGACTGGAAAGGTACTCCACCTTTCATATTGTCTGTTTCACTAAAGAAAAGAGAAAAGTCTGCAAAGGAATCCAAGTTCCACGTAACTCTCTGAAGACAGTGTTCTCATCAGTCAGTCTTTTGCATGTGACATGTGACTTAGAGGAGCTATTTTGGGACTATTTCTAGGATTTGGTTTTAAAACATCAAGTGAAAAAATAAGGAAGTGGGCCAAAAAGAATGATAAATAGTCTGAAATTATACTAGAGAGGATAATATTTTGTCTTTCAATGCGATTCTTCTTCGCAGAATCCAAGGGAGGGGGCATTGCCGACTGAGCATCTGAGTGGATGTTGAGGTCCCAGCTCTGCTTCTTGACCACTGTGCCAGGGATTAGCAGGCTGGGCAGTGGATCTCTCCCTTCTCCAGAGCACCATCTCCTCCAATCCTGCTTCCTCTGTGCTACTCAGACATTTGCACCATGCTTCTCCTTCTGCCAGGATGCAGAAAAGCAGGGAAGAATTGGTAAGGAAAGGGTTAAAGAAGAAAAGACATCTTTTCCATGTCTCAAAGAATTTGTTCAAGAATTTAAAGATTTCAAGGTCATTTAAAAATTATGGAGTCATTCTCCAGAATAAGAGATATTTAATTTGACAAAAAAACCCCCTTTTTTCCCCTAAAGAAATTCCCTTATTTTCAATCTACTGAATTTTTGGCTTGTACCACTTCATCAGTACAGTGTAAAGACAGGAGGTAATCCTTGTCTCCACCTCAGATAAAATGTTTGTACAAACTTCCTTCTAGACAGCTCTCTGCTCCATCTTTTTTTTTTTGTATCCATTCCTTTCCTCTTCCCCACCCCATTCCCAAAAAATGGGGCCAGTTTTGCCAACCTAATCAATCACATTTGAATGAATAATTTTGAAGACATTTAGTTCAAAACTCTGTTAGATAATCTTGCTTAAACCAGGGGAAACAAGTATACAAAACTGGAAGGACCTAATTGAAACTAGAAAAGGAAAACATTGTCATTATAGAATTCCAAAATACCTGACTACCGAAGATATGAACATGAAACAAAATGCCCTTTGTTTGACTCTCCATTGAGTGCTACTGCCAACATTTCCAGAACCCCCATTATTATTCATAAACAGAATCCTCCATAACACCATATAACTGTCATGCAAGCAATACAGATTGTATTGTTCCACAAGAAATTTTTTTTTTCTAAAACAGCTTGGCTCAACCTTTCTTTGTCTCTGGCACTGATGCCCATTTTCCTACAAATATATGCAGAGAAAAAAGGAAGCCAATACCTGTAACCACTCATATGCTGAGCTTTCGCAGCTGCAACACCCACATGCCAACCTCCAGAAAAGGTCTTTCCCAGGAGTGGCTTTGAGTTTGGGACTGACTGGTTCCCCACTGCCTCCTTTGTTGTCGGTTAGTCCAGTGCTCATGAAACATCACCATCAAATGCAATCGCTACTTACATATTGATAATCTTAGTACTAGACTATCCAAATTCATCAAGCTGCATACTTTGCAAGAAGGAGAGAGGAAAGTCATTATTTAACTACTTAAAAATTACTTAAATTAATTCCTGCCCACCTTTCTGAAAAGAAATCAAAAGCTTTAGGAAATGGATGGCAGTCAGTGACAAGACCAAAACCGATATGACTGAAGTGTTGGCATACCAAGCCAGATGAAGTTGTATTATATTTAATACAGATGTGTCTTTCACTTTAAAAGAAACAGCTGCTTTTAATTTAAATTTCATTTACGATGGAGTCAGAGATTATCAAATGCCATTCCCCATTCACATCCAGCCTCCATAGGAAGCAGTATTAGATAAAACCCATGCAAGGAGGTATTCTTTGCTAATGCTGGCTACATATGAGGGAATTTAAGGAAAAGTGAGAATGATAGGCAAAGAATCAGGACACAGTGAGAACAGGCTCTATTTGAAGCTAAACTTTCAGAGAATGATAGTCAAAAACTGCGCAACCTTATAGAGCATAAGATCAAAGGTCTATCTAGCCTGTCTCTAGCAGAGGGCCAGATACTATCAAATGACTGTGAAAATCGGAGGTTTCGGGGAGGGATCGTTCCTCTTCTCAGTTTGAAAGACTTATGATTTATGGTCTCCTTGAGACAAAGAACGATCCAGGCCATCATGTTTAATCCTGTCATTAATTGATGGTAGAAATACTATAGGATTTGCTATATGAGTTGATCTGTGATAAGGTACTCAGATCTACAATTTTAAGCTTACTTTAAATCATGAGTTTTTTCCCTGTAACCTGCAACTCTAGGCTTTTCGACAAAGAACTGTTAAAAATAAGGCAATAAGAACACTAGCTACAGGTCATTACCCTATATATTACCCTACAAAATATCTGATTTCTATTCTGTTATGTCATTGTCTTCTTTTTCACTGAGTGTTGTTTATTTAGCTTACAGATGCTTAGCACCAAATAAGTTTTATTTTCAATTATATCCCTAACCCACTTCTGTGAATATAAATAAAATAATAACAAAAAACCTCCAAGGAGTCCAAATTCCACTCCAATTGTTTGTTCAAAGATTAAAAAGAGATCAGTTAAAAAGCATGACTGATGTCTCTGATATACCAAAGCAGAGACACCTGCATCCAGGATTTTAACTTAAAATCATTTAATCTGCTTTCTTTTTTCATAGAATCATAGAATTGTAGAATCATAGAGTGGCTCGAGTTGGAAGGGATCTTAAAGATAATCTAGTTCCAACACTCCTGCCATGGGTAGGAACACCTTTTAGTAGATCAGGTTGTTCAGAGTCCCATCCAACCTGGCCTTGAACACTTCCAGGGATGCAGGCACCCACAACCTCTCTGGGAAACCTGTTCCATTGCTTCACCACCCATTTTTCCATGCTTCAGGATGCAGTCTCATTAAGATTTATATTTCCACATTGGCAAATAACACCATTGAATTCCTGTGGAAGTAACACTTGATATTTACAGAGCATGTTTTATCAAGGCATTCTTGAAAATGTGTCACAAACTTTTTTGCTTGATGATATATGCTAAATAAATGAAACTTTGCTCATCTGAGTAAATAAAGGAGAAATGCAATTTTTTTTTAAATAGTGGATATTGTGTGTGAAAATACATATATTGTGAGTGAAAATATATATGTAGAAACAAAACCCTTTGGGTTTGCCCTTAGTAGACTGCAGACCTAGTAGTAAACTGAGTGAAACTGAATACATTTATTCACTGCTTCTTACTAATGAACACAGAACAAAAATGAACACAAAGTTCATCCAAATTTATTCATAAACACCTTGCTTTATAGCAAAAGTCAGTGAATCTAGGAAAAATATTTTGGTTTTAATCTTTGCTGTACTTCTGTTCCCCTCCCCTTATGGGTTAAAACTGATGACAAAAGAAGCAGTAATACTGAGAATATGGATAAATATTATCAGTTAACTGTTACCAAGAGTGATGGAAGTAAAATTGTCATTAAAGACTAGTAGTTTTAAGCTTAAAGATTTCAGAGGGGCCTAATAGCCTTTGGTCTATGCCACTAATTGCTGTTAAATTGGAAGCTGTGCAGTGGAAGCTGCGTGGTCATTCACTGTTTTGCACTGGCAAAATATTTTATTTTTTGCTGATGGAAGCTTGTTCTGTTAAAATGATGGTGTTTCTGAATGCAAATCTTTGAGCAGAGAAGTTAACTTTTATATTTGTCTCAAAATCTGTGTTTTCTCAGTGAAATTATTACATTTTACCTTGGAACAAACCTAGAAAATATGTGCCAAAAACATTAGAAACTGTATATAAACATTTGCAAAGTAAAAAGAAATTATTGCCATAGTAACTGGGCCCCAAATTTGCAGACCTGCTTATACTGATATAACCCAGAGACACTCTGTTGTTTGCCAGGTAAAGCTTGACATTGGTGAAATGTGAGATCAAAATTTAGCCCGGGGACCTTGAATTAATTTTTAATCCTAAATCAACCTTTAAAATCTCATGCAGGGGAGGATATGTATAGTTCAACAGAAGTTACATTTCACATTTCATGCAAACTTTCTTCAAAAAAATCAGATGAGTAATGTATCTATTGAATAAGTTATTTTAAATTTCGGTACATCTTAAGACTGACTAATATGCAGGGGAGAGGTTTTGGCACTTTGGTGAAAGCTTATTCATTATATAAGATGAGCAGCATTCAAGTGCAGAATACTCCATTTATTGTACTCCCAAACCCAGGAAGTAGTTGCTGATAATGATTTCAGATGAGGCTTTATCAGCCTCCTTTTATAACCATTCTCCATTCATAAACAATGGCCACAAAATGAACAACAGTGAAAACTGAAAGAAAAGAAAATGTTGCTGAATCCTCAAGTTCTCTAACAGTTGAAAAGGTAAAAAACCTAAAAATGTGGTTCTGCCTTGACAGCACTAGAATAATTTCTTTTGAAAAGAGCAAAATCCTTCAGAAATAATAAAAACAAACCCATAAACAAAACACAGGTACTTTGTGACCTGATTATGAAACAGCCCTGTACTTACCTGCACTCCAGCTTTCACAAAGATAAGAGTTTCAGCCTTCATAGACTGACAGAGACTGATGGTCCAAAAAGGAGCCTGAACGAGTTGTACACAGAATCTGGAATGCGGTGAGTTTAACATTAACAAAATGAAATCCTTTTCATGGAATATTGAATTCAATTGGCCCTTTGAACTTATTGTTGCATATTTTTTAGCAAGGCTTCCTAACACCCACGTAAGGCTGAACGTGTAACAACTGTACTCAGTTACCAAAGCTAAGATTAGAAAATATAGTTACTCAAACCCTCAATCATTCATTGAGGATTAATTGAGAAACTCTTCTTGCTACATAATTATTTCCCAGGAATTTAGCTCAGGGCTTCATGTGTTTAGCTATGAGTCAGCTGAAGGATCTGATACGGTTTCTTCTGGAAATAGGAAATTGGATAGATGGGCTAGTGATGCATTTTGGTCCCTGTATTCCTGGGACCCTGTTTCATATCCAAGCAGCATTCACAGTGCGGTCAATACAGGCTCTTCACTTGGGTGCCGTTAATGACCATCTGGATCCACTGTAGGCTCAAATCAGATGTCTAGATTTGGGCATTGTACTACACTTTTATGTCAAACTTTCTGCATTTCATGCTGAAAAAGGGAAATGAGTATCCTTTTTTTCCCCTGAACATTAGATTTCTGAAATTAAAATAAATAAAGCAAAGCTGATTAGTTTTCTGACTTGCTTTCTGGTCAGAAAATTTTTTGTCAAGCAGAAAGTGAGACATGAAGTTTAAATTAGGCACAGAGACACCAGAGCTAGAAAAATCCAGTAACTACAGTCATGATTCGACTTGATATAATGTGTTTTCAAGTTTACAGCTGTGGGATTTCCACTTCAAAATAATGTGAAAGGAAGTGGATGCAAAGAAATTTGACTGAAGAAAGCTGCCAGAAGAGCTACAGTGTGATGGTGTGTCTC